ATTCATTATTAAAAGTCACGTGTCTGCCATCACTTCATGCTTATTTGATTCAGAACTGTGAGAGAAAAACTGGTTTTTAATAGGACTACACATAATTCCTTAATGCATGGTTTTACTAGTTAGGGAGTGGATTGCTCTAAATTGTGTTTATAAATCTCTTATGAAAATAGCATTGACTATTATACTCTTTTTCTCCCAGACCAATAGAAAAGCCCTGTCTCAGGTGCCATTCAGTGGGCACATTAGCTACCAGATCCTTTTTCTCACCCCAAGGAGCCCATTAATACATAGAATTTTTTACACTTTAATTTGCTTTAATTCTTTTCATGTTTTAAACAAACAAATCAAGTTATCCTATAACATGCTCCCCTTTGAAAAAGCATGGTATACCCTCATTGTTCTCATAAAGCTTAATTATGTCATTTACGTTCTTCTTCTGGAAAGTGTCATGCTTTGTTCCCAACCGACACAAAGCACTCTGAAAGTCAGGAACACTGTGGCTTCCTACAGCAAGCTGACTTGCATGGTATTTAACGGCAGATTTAATTGGGAGAAAGGATCAGATTTAATTATGTTACCTTGTTCTCTTTGAAACTTTCTTTCAGCTGGATTTCCATGATACTAACTTCTTCTCAGTCACTTCCTACCCAGCAGGATTGTCACCAGCTGTCTTCGCCTCCTCCTCTGCCTGGTCACAAGTGTGGGCACCACCCACAGGGCAGGCTTAGGATCGCTTCTCATCTGACTGACATCCCTGAGGAAGCTCACCCACCTGCAGCTCTGGCTGCGAGCCCTCCCACTGTCCACACCCACCTTCGCCATGTGATCCGCTGCATAGGTGTCTTAGTCAACTCAGGCTGCGTGGCTTATAAACAACACGCACTCATTTCTCACTGTTCTGGAGGCTGGGACGTCCAAGATAAGGCGCCAGCAGATTTTCTGTGTGGTGAGGGCCTGGTTCCTAGTTCATAAACTGCCTTCTCGCTGTGTCCTCACATGCTGGAAGGGGTAAGGGACCTTTCTTGGATCTCTTTTATAAGGGTGCTGATCTCATTCAGGAGGGCTCCACCTCTCAAAGGTTCTACTTCCTAACACCATCACCTCGGGGGTTAGAATTTCAACATATGAATTTTGGGGGGACACAAATACTCAGACTATCACAATAGGTCCCCCTTCAAGTCCCATCAGCACCCAACATGTCAGAAACTGTACTGCCCCGCTCCCTTCTGACTTGCTCTGTTCTCACTGTTCCCTGGTCATTCATTCAGTGTCAAAGCCTTGGGGTACCTTTGAGTCCCTCTTTTCCATGATCTCCCGTTAACGATTTTGCCACATCCATCCTTATCTCCATATCCACTGCCCTCTTTCAAGGTCTTATTCTACTGGGTTTCACTTCTGCGGCAGACTCATTTCTTAATCCCTTGACTTCACCAGGCAGAAATATTTCCTCAAAATTCAAGGAAAAAAACAGTTGAGCCAAATGCTGCTGTGAAATAAGGAAGATAATTAGCTTCTGGCTTTGGTTTTGGGAAGTAGCAAGTGACTGTGGTGAAAACTGACTCAGGAGAGTAGTGGGGCAGGAGTCAGGAATAACGGGGTGCTGAGACAGTGGAGGGAGGGCAGGGCGCTGCGTGTGGGCACTCACAGGGGTACCCTGGTGAAGGGGAGGACGGAGAGAAGCCAGGAGGTAGGGAACAACTTTTTGTTTAAGACAAGGGAGATACGTGTCTCCTTTATTTTTTCTGTGAAGTAAAACTAAAAACTGAAAAATAAAAAATCAAAGGAGTTTTTTTATTGTGCAGGAACCAGAAATATATTATTATAAATAATAATAATTACTATTATATGTGTGCATATAGAGAGAGGTAGATTTAGGTATTTTGAAGATATATATTCTGTATTTCAGGACACATAATAACCTTTAGTTAAATGTGCCATGTTAAGGACAGTTGGAAGCCCTGATGATTGAAGCAAATGTCCTCAGGAAGTAGAGTTCAAATATTTATGAGTTCCTTCCACAGACATGAATTCAGTGTCACCAGTGTGCTGGGCATTGGGTGGCTCGGCAAGAGCTTGCCGAGATGAAGAGGAGAGAGCCCTGAGCTGCAGTCGCGCTCAACACTACATGGATAAAAGCCCAGAGGCGCTAATACTTAGCTCTCGGCGCATAGGTCAGGGTAGGTGGGGCAGGGGCTTCCAGGCAAAGAAAAGCGAAAACAGGTATGGTGTCAGAAAGCGGCAGCACAGAGTAGCACAAACGTATTGAATTTGAAGTTTCAGAAATGTGCACAGGATTGTAGTGAGGGTTAAGAATAAAATCCTAGTGGAAGATAGCTCCTGTTGTGACTGATAGCAACACCGCCATCAGCACGACACACTGAGGCTTCCTACAGCCCAGTGTGGCCGGAGCACAAGCCAGTTGATGAACACCCTTGTGTGCCCTGCTGGGGAGTTTGAGCTGTGTCCCAGGGACGCTGGAGTGTTGGTCAAGCATTTCAGTGGGGGAATAACATAATCAGATTTAAGCTTAAGATCGCCACTCTGGCAGCAATTTGAGGATGGATTAGAGAGCAGGAAACAGTGGGGGCAGAAAAATATATATGAATATCTTCCCCATACAGTAATCGTTACTTTCACCAATTATGCTATAAGAGAAGCTGATAAGATCTTGTTTATTATTGGTAACTGTCAAAAGAAAAAATGCTACTTGATCAATAAGCATAGGGAACAATTGGATTCATCTTTTTGGAAATAGACCACAATAACAGAATTATATACAAATGAAGAACCGAGAGATTTCCAAGTTCATTCTCACACCTGGTTGAATCGTGGATTTATAGTCATGTCTAATCAAAGCGACTCTAAAGCGTTTAAGCTTATTCTCAAATCATTTTACTTTTTAAATTAGAAGTTCTTAGCCTGGAGTTCATCCAAGGACAGGCTTCAGGCACTCTATGAACTCCCTAAAGTTAGAGAAAAAATCATAAGCATATCTTTTTATTTCTTCTAGGGAGTGACCAGATGGCTTCTGTCAGATGCTCAAAGAACATCTAGAATGTCTAGGACCCCCCAAAAGAACCACTGTCTATATCTACATGTAGAAAAGACTGGCATTGCATTGAGAGAACCTCAGACATTTTGTCTGAACTCCAGCGTCTCCACTTAGATGTGTAAAAGGCGTTTCAAACTGAAGCCGTCACTGAGAGAGCTCCAGCTCCTCTCCCCCAGCACCCGCCCCTCCCTCAGCCTTCCCCATCTCTGTAAATGCCAACTGCTGTCTTCTAGCTGCTCAGGCCCAAATCCCTGCCTGGGGTCCTCTTCTTTCTCATGCTCTGCATCCACTCCCTCAGGGCTGCCATCTCCATCTTCAGAATGTATCTGGACTCGGACACCTCCCTCACCAGCTGCCACCACCCTGGTCCGATGCTCCATCAACCCTTTCCCAGTGCATTGTGGTGGCCTCTGGCCTGCCTCCCTTCTTCAGCCTCACCCTCTTATCTATTCTTCAGACAGCAACCAAAGCAACCCCTGCAGTAGCTCCCCTGCTGCCTCTGAATAAAATCTAACCCCTGCCATGTCCCTGACCTCATTGCTACCTCTTTGCTCACTCTCCACGCTGACCTCTGCTACTCCCTCAGCCTTGTCACCTCAGAGTCCTTACCCGTGCAGTGTCAGCTGCTGGAAGGCTCTTCCTCCAGACGTCTGTGTGGCTTGCTCTCTCTTCCCCTTCCAGTCTTTGCCCACTTGGGCCTTCTTGGGCTGTCTCTTTAAAACTGCAACACCTCTTCCCTACTCCCCTCCAGAACACTCCCCTTCCCTGCTTTATTTTTCTCCTGCACTAATCACTGATACATAATGTGTATTGTTTCCTTACCACCACCACCATTATAATATAAGCATTGTGATGCAGGGGGTTTCTTTGGCATTTTTCCTTTCACTGCTATATCTAGAATACCTATTGCAATTCTTGACATATAGCAGGAACTCAATAATATTGACTGGATGAATTTTATTTTGGAATTTATTTGGCATTTTTGCTGTTACCATCTCATGCGTTCTGCTTACTATAACTTTCCATGGATTATTTCTAAAATTACACTGGAGTGTTTGAATGGATCCTGTTTCTTTTCTAGTTCACCTCTTTACTTAAAATAGTAACTGATGCAATGATAATTATTGATATATGTGGTCTTTAAGTTCCCCATATTAATCTGAATTCTATTTCCAACAGCTATTTGGCAATTGAAAGAACTCTTCTCTGTCCATTTTTTGCAAATTCCACACCATCCTCTCTGACTTAATAAAAAGATTCCTTTAAAGTTACTATAATTTACTCAATTTATAATAGTATAATTTTGTCTTTTTTTTTTTTTCGTGACCGGCAACGGATCGCAACCCTCAGTGTCGTGCCCGTACCGGACCGGGACCAGCCACGGGATCGCAACCCTCGGTGTTGCTCCCGCCCCTTGCTCAGCCAGTGAGCGGCTGGTCTGTATGTGGGATCCGAACCCTTGGCGGGAGTGCCACCGCGCTTCCCAAGCGGCGCACTATAGCAGTGCGCCACCGGGCCGGCCCATAATAGTATAATTTTGAAAACATCATCTTGGTCAGATATTACAATTCCTGTCTGTCACAACACTTTTCAGAGTGTAAGTATACCTTACAGGTGTACTGATAGAGCTATTTTAGTTAGCAATAGCTTTATGCTTTACTAAATAATTGTGGTTCTATGCTAGAAACATAAGAGACATTTTATAATATGAATTGACATCTGCTAACTTGTCTGTTTTATAAGTTTGGAATTTTTTAGGCTAGGTATTCTTATAGCAGGAAAAATCTGGGCCTGACACACAAAAGTTTGCTTTTGTTTGCCCGAACTCCTTGGAGCAACAGTAATAAACTATAGACCTGAGGCCTTTCTAATGCCAGTTCATGTGGTAAAACTATTTTTTCTAAGTATGCGAGTTTTGAACGTTGATGTGTTTATTTTACTGTTTCAGGTTTTACAAGATGAACTAGAAAACTGCTCTAATCAGGTGCGGTGTGCAGAGAAAAAATTACAGCATAGAGAATTGGAGTCACAGGAACAGGTACACTTGGCTTTCCTACTTGGCTTGTTTGTTTACTTTCTCTAGATCAAGGGGCTTGTGCATTACCTGTTTTAGCTAGGGTGCTTTAGCTGCAGGTAACAGAATACCCATGGTTGACGTAAACAATAAAGGAATTTATTACTTCAGAACAGGAAGTCTGCAGGTAGGGCAGGCTCTGGCTCTGTATCTCTGGCATTTTCACAGCTCTGTCTCCTGTGCTGGCTTCATTCTAAAAGCATTTTCGAACTGGCTGCAACAGTGCCAGGCATCCTGCCCAGATCTGCACTATCCGGAGGCAAAAAGGGACTGTAAGTTTCTGGGGTCTCCTTCTGAAGAATAAGGAAATATTTCCTAGGTCCTCCCCGCAGCCTTCCTTTGCTTCTTATTGGCCAGAGCAGGTCATGTGCTCAGTCTGGCATGCCCAATCCCTGGCAAGAGGACTGGGTATCAAAACTAGCCTAGGCCAATCAGGATCCACCTGCTGGTGGTGGAATTAGGGGAGGAAAGAAAACTGGAACAAAGAAGGGGGAAGTGGATGTTGAGTATGCAGCCAACAGTGTCTGCTGTGTCATCATTCTAAAATAAATGACATTATTTTACTTAGAGGCATAAATCATCTTTTCTTTGAATTTTAATTTTTCCTCTTTCTTTCCATTATGTTAATAAAATAAATGTAATATAAACTAGAATAATCTGGCTATGACAATAGCTAATGACCTATTTTATTTTCACATGACAGGATTATTTTCACCCAACTCTTCTGGTTATAATGAATTGTACTTAGTGGTAATTTTGACAATTTAAAGTAAAAATTCAACAATGTATCAATAGAGACCATGAGTCTTAATGAAACCTTTTATAAATGCCTTGTCCTCAGCCACTGGGTATAGCACAGCTGACATTCTTCTAAGTGCCACTGATCCATTACAGACAGAACCTGCCATAGGTATTGACAGATGTTTGTACTTTGGTTGTCTCATAGTAAAACTCAGTACAGGAATATTAAATTAGGTTATTTTTACTTTGGGGGAAGGGTAAACACTAATGGTAGGCTAGTAAGGTTCCTTTTTTGTTTTTTTTCATCACTGGAGATGTTTAGAAACAGGATCCCATGGTGGGCGATTGTACGAAATGGCGGAAGTAAATACCTAATAGATGCTGAGTATTAATACTTACTGTATTAACTTGAGTACCTATAATTCCTTCCTACTCTGTAATATAAACCCTGTGTAATATGCATATCATACATATATGTATATGTTGTGTATATATGATATGCATAAATATGCATATATGCATATATACATATATGTCATATGCAGTGTCTGTGTCATACAGTCGGATATAGGATAACAAAACAATAATACTAGGATGAGAGAACTACACTTTATGAAATGCCTACAAGGTGACAGATACTATACAAGAAATGTTACACATATTAGTGCATTTAATCCTCACAACAACTGTGTAAGGTCAGTATTATCATTCCCATTTTATAGATGGCATGCTAAAACCCAGAGTGGTTGAGTAACTCATTCAAGATCACACAACTAGTAAGTAATAGAGCTGTATTCAGACGCAAGTTTATCTGAATTCCAAACTTTTTCTCCTTTCGTGACAATTTTTACGTTATATTTCTAGTTGATTAAAAAAAACGGATAGCAGTGATAGGAGAAGTGAGCTTATTAAGGATGGTAGGAAAACACAACTACTGCTCTAGATACCTGGTACAGTAGCAAATGCCATTGACCTTCCACGGGCAGAGAGGAGCAGAGAGCAGAGGAAACAAAAGCACAGCAGATTGAGTCACAGGTGAAAGTGCTTCCTTGGATGGGCGTGCGGTGCTGTTCACGTCACATCAGCACAGGTCTACTTGTCAGTGAAGGTCAGCTGAGCACCATCCTCTGCTGAGGATGCTTATAACTAAAAGAAGGGAAAAGAAGAGCTTCTCAAAAGCAGGAAATGATGCTCCCTGGAGGACTGGGGCTTCTGCAGTTTATGGTAAAATATGACTTAAGGTAAAACTTTGTTGACATCACTTTAATTCATGGCAAAACTTCACACAGAAAATTCCATTATATATGGAGAGTAGGGAAATTAAGAAATCCCAAATGAACAATAGGGAAGGATTCAGGAACTCCTGTCAGTCTTTTTTTATTGACTTCTTTTTGATCATCAAAGTTGCTTTCATCTTTGTAATGACAATAGCTTTTTAGAATATTTCTCATACTAATTCCTGATATCTTCTATTAGGCTACAGTTTACCAAAGAAATGTCAGGAAATACCCATGGGTAAAGCAGAATATTTCATAATCTTTGCAACCATGACATGTTGGGCTCTTTCCACAAGGTCCTAGGGTGTAACTAGAAAAAAAAATGCCATTTGTTTTAATAATACTAAGCATTTAATAAATATTATTCATCTATATTTTATTTAATTTAATCTTTTATTTTCTCTAAATGTGACCCGTGTCCCCCTTTAATTTGTGACGCTCAGCAAGTAGTCAAAAATAATTAGAACTATTGTCATGGGCATTTTTTAGGGTCTGCTTATATATGAGCTTACTTAGGATATCTAAAATGTTGAAATGTTACATTATGATTTTCTTTTTGGCCATTCATCAAACAACTGCAGTAACAGTAGCTAGCCTCCCATCGGTCCGATGCTCCATCAACCCTCGGCCAATCAAACAACTGAAATGTGTGCAAAACAGCTACTTAGAACTTTCTTCTCTTTCTTTTCAACCAAATATTATTACCCCGATGTTAGTTGCATAAAAAATCAAGATTGAAACTGGCAGAATTACAAAGGACAATTTCCTAGGCTGCTTTTTTTAACTTGCTTGCTTTAAAAAAAGTTTAAACTGTTTCTGTTTTTCATTTAAGAAAAATTCCTGTGTTTTGTTTGATTCTATAAAAACAAGAAATGAATGAGGCATTTTAAACGTTATGTTTTCAATTAAAAACAAAAAGCTGCTTCTCATCAGGCCTCGATGGGTGGCATCCTTGCTGCCCACCCTTTGCCTGGGTGCTGTCCCCTCTCTCCTCTGTCTTCTTACTCTGGCAGCTCAGCGAACTGAGTCCCAGAGGAGGCATGTTCATTGGGAGGTACAAAGGGTTACCTTGTTCCTTGTGCAGATTCAAGAGCAATAGTACAAGCAGAATTAGAAAAATAGTAAGTTTCTAAGTCAGCCTTACAAAAACATGATCCATACCAGGGGTGAATACTAATTCCAGATAAGGTCTGAGCAAGAATCCCATAATTTAAGCAAGGAAGGGGAGATCAGAGCTCTGATCAAACTTCCTCATTGGGCAAGGAAGCTGAGTCATCAGGGAAGGATGTGACTTTCCTAACATGCAACACAGTAGTGGCAGACTCAGGGGAGGACTGGATGTGGTCTGCTCACTCCCAGGGTATTATTTTCCATTATGTTACACACTATGGAGAATGGGAATATGCCATCTGTTACTCGGGTTCAGGTATAGATTTAAAACTGAAATTCACTTTTGGGAACAAAGGATGTTTTATTATTCACAATGAGACTAGATAATTTGGTCTGATAAATAATAGAAAAGAGAAGGAAGAAAAGAAATAGTCTAAAAATTTACTTGGTATTCTTGACACTGTGTAAAGCACATACAAGAGGTCTTCAAAAAGGTCAGGGAAAGGTTCATGTTCTCTTTTCTGTTTTTCTGTGAACTTTTTGAAGTACCTTCATTTTTATCACAGAGACACTAAGCAATGTCACCTAATATAATGTAGACATTAATATACATGTAACAAAACCCCTGCTTCAAACTGGATATCTTAAATTTTGAAAGTATGAATAGCTTTGATTATGTTGGTCACTCAGTTTCCCAAAATATTATTTTAAATAAATTAGTGGTAAAAATACTTCAGAAATTTCCTAAAAAGACAATACGGTGCTGAGCATTTCACAGGGAACTCAATTGTTTTCTCCTCAACATTTTATTCTTTACACAGGCATACTGTGGCAGACAGTGCTAGGTACTGAGAAGAAACAATGATGAATAAATTATAAATCCTGCCTTCAGGGAGTTTTCAGTCTGGCAGAGCAAAGGAGATATGTATAAAATGTAGACTGCAGGCATGGAATTAAAGTTGGCTCTTTTCCTTCTAAATGGCTTCGAGGCTTAGAATCTCAAGATGTGGAAAGTGCACAAGCCTTCCATATTTCCTGACCCTGTGGGGAAGGAAGAGAAAGATCTTGAGCCAGGAAAAGATCAGGGTCCCACCGCTCCAGGCAGTGTTTGGTACTTGTTGACTTGGAGTTGTGGCCCTCGAGGGAATCGGGTTCTTCCGAGGCGGGTGGGAAGAGGGTCAGGGTTTCTGCCAGCTTTCTCTTGAAAACACCTGGCCTCCCACCTCATCTTGCTGCCTTGGGCTGCCCCTGGTTTTGTAGCCAGCATTATTTGTAGCCAGCTGGTTTAGTTTTGAGTCTTATCTGGTACACCCGAGCATTGAAGGTCTGGACTGTGCCAGCACAAGTAACTCATAAATTGTTTAAAAACATATAGCTAGGCCACTCACACTTCTTTTCTTTACTGAAATGTATAGATTGTACATATCTATGGGGTACCACATTGAATATCCATACCTGTGTGCAATATGTGATGCTCAAATCAGGATAATTAGTATATTCAACATTACACAATGTAATCATTTTTTGAGTCACATTTTAACATTTCAATCACAACCTTGCAGCAACCAACTTTATATTTAAGGCCTAGACACATCGGTTAATTTAGGAGAGAATCTAGTGACCAAAGATGTCTCAGTGGTAATTGTGTGTGTTTAAGGGTTGGGGAGTGGGGGCAGAGGTTGTCCCAGAGACCCCCACCAAGACACAGGGAGAGGAGAGACTTTAAGGACCAGTATGATCCAGTGGGAAAAGCACCACTGATTCTAAATCTTTGTCACTACTAATCACATGATCTTGGGTAAGTCACTTAACTTCTCTGCATATCACACTCCTAAT